AATTAATCAAAATAATCATTTACGGGGTCTGTCAGTAACTTGGACAGGTCTACCAAGCGGCAGTTGAAGAACTGCCTTTTACCTGGCTGACCGCTGTTTGTGTATTATTCCTTTAGTTTCCATGTGCGAAATAATATCATTTAAAGTTAACTCTCGTCTTCCAAGCACATGATAATACCTCATTATTCCTTGCACCTCACACTCACAACTCGTCAGAACCAGAAGAAATTTTGTTTAAATATTTTAGATCCAAATTCTCATTTATATATATATATATATATATATATATATATATATATATATATATATAATATATATATATATATATATATATATATATATATATTATATTGCCATCCATAACATGTCATCAGTGATCTGCATATATTAAAACAGTGTATCTTTAATATAAAGCAATATCTCATAGAGGGATGATTAGCTTTAAGTGGTGGATTGATAAGCCAGCGGAAGGCTTCGGTCAAATAACCCGAAACCTTGCTAAGCGGGTTATCCAAACCCTCATCAGAAATGCTCTCTTTCTCCAAGAAAAAAGAAAACCTTCACCCCATCCCTCAAGTAAAAAAAATGCATTCTTTTGAATAACTAACCAAGTTTGCTATTAAAGACAGTGATTGGCAGAACGTACAATGATCGTTTCAAACGAGAGCAAGTTATGCACTCACTGGCGGCTCTTGCAATGGTGGCAGGCAGACTGAGAACACTCAGGCGCCGATCCCAGCATGGCTTGGTAGGAGAACTTTCAGGTGACGCGTTCTTCACCTCTTCCCTGTGTAACGGTTTCTTCCATGCGACGCCTTCGCTCCTCACGAGAATTCATTTGTATCCTGAGGACACAATAATAAAATGTTAATTGTCTCCGCCTGGTTTATATACCCCAGTCTTGGTGTGACGCGTGTGAGTTGTTGGCTTAAGGGAGGTTTGTATCCTATCGACTGCAACAGAGTGGTTAAGGCCGCACCTAACCTTTTCACCATTAAACAAGAGATTAAAGTGAACTCTCAGCATGTGTAAACAGAGAGGTGGGTTTAGCGTTTAGTCATGATAATAATAATAATAATAATAATAATAATAATAATAATAATAATAATAATAATAATAATAATAATAATAATGATAATAAATAATAAGATTATATAATCAATATAATAATATTAATAATAAACAGAAATCACCTCTATGTATATTGTTAACTTGATTATCATTGGTGTTGTAGTGACTTGTATGCCCAGGATGCCCCAGTCTACAAAGGCTGAGGGAACCGATCACTTCAGAACTCAATGTTCCTATCGCCTCAGTGTCATATTCGACAGAAGAAGCCTCTGTGGCAGCGGCAAGTTTCGGCATAATGAAAATCAATGTATGCAACTTTTTATAACTTGCCAAGCACTGATACACCCTGAGACTCATATTGCCTTATGATTTGGGTGAGTGAGAGGCCTTGATCAAAAGTAGGAGTCACCCCTTCCACCACTCAGATCAAGTTTGATTAATACCATTCTCCAAGGCACTGTAGACCCATTGTGTGCTTTAGCGCTTCCCTAATAACTAATATAACTCATAAGCAATTACTTTCATGATAACATTGGTACGCCTCTGGCAAGAAAGTGATGGAGTGAGTGATAATGAGAATGTTTCTTCTTTTTAGGGTCACCCTACCTCAGTGGGTAACGGCTGCGTTAAAAAATAATAATAACCATTATTTACATAGGTTCCTTATTAAATAATTATTTAATAAGCTTTGTGTCTGATGAACCACTTTAAGTCTTGCTCCCAGTCTGTGTATTGCTTGTGATATTACTACACAGGATCTACCTGCCGCTGCTACGAGTATATTACACCACCTTCTGGTGAACTCACTAGGCAACAGTCTTCTCGTTTGAGTTATCGAAGCAGATGGCTTTGGTAAATTTACAAGAATAGACTGGAGAAGCATATTTGCTAGAAGGATTATTTAAGGATGACATGACAAGCATGGGTTAGTAGATACACTGTATTGTTTCTCTGGATATAAAGGTACACGATACTGACAAGTAATGGAGAAAAACAGAATGCAACACCAAGACATGTTCACTACAAACACTTTAGTCCTGGAACTCTACTAGTGTTTCTCTCTTCTTATGGTTATATTCCTTAACATTAATTATTAAAGGGGGGACTGGTAAGCCAGCTGAAGGCTACAGTCAGATGATCAACGGCTCCAGCTGTGGGTAATCATATAGCTAAGACTCACGTCAGGAAACACTTGTCCTGTTTCCTGACAAACCTTACCTAACCTGACCTATATTCCTTACACGAGCCTACAATCAATGATATATTTTTTTTACAATACACGTTTAGCGCTAAACTCACATGGGTCATTCAGCGCAAGACGTAATGGAGGCTTGATCCTCCGTCTGCTGAACGCAAGACAGACGCGCTCCCTATTTGATGATATAAAGCTGAAAATTATTAATAAAAATTTAGTTAATGAAGAATTCTATATCTCATAGACTGGTATGGCAATGAGGAATCCCATATACAGTGGACCCCCGGTTTACGATATTATTTCATTCCAAGTTTATTATTGAGTTAAATAATGTTGCTTCATGTAAATGAAAACAGACACTATGGAATGAAAAAAAAAGCACTCAGTGCTATATTAATATGTATTAATTCTTAACCATGAATCAAAAATCAGAATATACAGAAAACCGAACATAGCTCTGCTCCTGTAGATACAGACACTGCAACGTCATGGGATCTTGGTACAAGGAATTCTTCACTACTTGTCAAACCTTAGGACGAAAACCTACTTACACTAGTGGATGGTTCCACTGTGATCCCGCCTCCTCCTGCTTCCACTCACCTGACTTCCATTCTCTGGCCACATGCTGTACTTTCTACAAGATTGATGGACTGAACACATCGATTCCAGGTTGAGGGACTTTTTCACCTCAAACTACTCCTCTCCTTACCCAGTTCTGCTTTGTACTGGACTGGTGAAGCTACTGTGTGGCGAAAAGTTTCCTTAATAAAGATTCCCATATGTTGCATGTCTCAATCTTAAACAAATAACATAGACAATTACAAATAGGAAATTAAAAGACTAAAAATGCTCAATAAAGTGACTGGAACAACAGTCAACCCGCACATGGGAGACCGAAACATATGACGACATTTCGGTCCGACTTGGACCATTAACTACACCCTGTGACTAGTTAATGGTCGTCATAAGTTTCATTCTGCTATGTGTAAGAAATCACAAATTTCGTTTCAATTTCAATGGCCCCATATTGTCTACAGGCTTTAAACCAAACAAAGCAATCTGGAGGTATTCATTAATATTACAGTCTGTGAGAGTTGTAGGGTCTTTTAGATTGGCCCGATCGCTCTTAACCTACCTGATATGACCTTACTAAGTCATAAGACCAAGGTAAATAGAATCTCACTAATATAAGAGTAACTGGTTAGTTTTTCTTCACTACATTCCTTGAGACAATGATCAATTAATTTTCTGCTATTTCTGACTTTTAGCTAAGTTAATCTTTTCTTTTTTTTTTGTTAATGGATGTTGAGTTTAACTCAGTACTAAGCACTAACTTTTAGCACCTGAAATTAGTTCAGTAGTTAGAGTGAGGTCTTATGGAACGTATGTAACTGACTATATGCCGTTGGGATGTCTAATTGCTTGAAGAATCGGCGTTTCAATTGGCTGAACCCGAATCGTTTGGCTGACATCTGGTTGGCGAGCTACCATTGAATCAGTAACGGTTCTAACAGATGATTGGCCAGCTTGTAACCAGTCAGAAGAGGATATAACAGAACCCTGGTTAGATTGCATCGAATCAGTAACCAAATGATCTTTCGAGGAGTTAGAGACGGTCGTCAGTATCTCAGTGGATCGGTGAACTGTCGGCGAATCACGAGCCCTCGAGTGCGTGATAAATCCGATAGCTGATTCTTCAGCCTCCGGTGAATGTGAGATTGTCATTTGAGCTGAATCGTCGTCCTCGCTAGGTCGATTCTTCCCGCTGACTGTTTCATTAACTTCAGCAATGGTGATCTGTCTGTTGTAACGGAAGTGAGGTTGATCATCCTGTTCATCTGCTCTTTCCTCCCCTTCCTTCATCTCATCCTCTTCCCTTCCATTTGAGAAATGGAGTGAACAAGTCAAAGGATCATCGACTTCGAAGGAAAGGTTAGAAACTCCATCCGATTGACCTACGAGAAATATAAACTTTAACAGCAAAGTAATCAGCTAAACAAATTAATTTGCCCTGTCATCTTATTTAACTAATAAGGACAAAACAGTCTACCTCAGGGCTCTAGGTCATGGGGAACGAGCACATACGAGAAATATAAACTTTAACAGCAAAATAATCAGCTCCAATTAATTGCCCTGTCACTTATTAACTAATATGACAAAACAGTCTACCTCAGGGCTCTAGGTCATGGGGAACGAGCACATACGAGAAATATAAACTTTAACAGCAAAATAATCAGCTAAACAAATTAATTTGCCCTGTCATCTTATTTAACTAATAAGGACAAAACAGTCTACCTCAGGGCTCTAGGTCTGGGAACGAGCACTACGAAAAATAAACTTTAACAGCAAAATAACAGCTAAACAATAATTTGCCTGTATCTAATTAACTAATAAGGACAAAACAGTCTACCTCAGGGCTCTAGGTCATGGGGATCGAGCACATAGGAGAGAGGAGCTACTTATTAACTCAAAAGACTCAATTTATTACCTTAAAAACAGTTTGAAATCATGTGAATTTCGATGTCATGGGCGATTTTAGTGTATTAATCTTCTTCTAAAGTCAACATGCTTATTTATCGTTCTCTGCTTATGAATTTTCGTAAAATTCAATTTTAAACGTGCTGATAGCTAATAATTATATCAATTACAAATAAAACATAAAACTACCATGCATTCACGAAGTGGTCAAGATAAGTCGAATTTTATGGGCTTCAATACGCTTAAGAAATATGGAAAGCTACAACAGCTGAAGGAAAAGCATCGGGGAGTGGAGAACAAGAGACACTGAATCTGCTCAGGGGAACTGAATGCTTTTCTAAGTCCTCCCTTAGTTATGCCACAGATTTAATTTTCTTTCTTTCTACAGAGTTTGATGCATTTATAGTGTAGCAGAAGTCTCTCTCTCTCTCTCTCTCTTTCTCTCTCTCCACCCTCCTGCTAAAGCTTCCACCAAACATGAATTTACACGACACAAATTTACACAGGAAAAAGCTTACGAGGGTTGCCATCCTGAGTGCATCTTGGTACGTAGGAAGTTTATTAGCGACCTCGTCGTAGCTCGGCGGCGCGTCCCTCTCAGGGGACTGTACGTTGAGTGGGCGAGGTAGAGACCGCAGGAAGTGGAAGACGGGAGTGTGTGAAGAACACGGACGGGAAAAATTGAATGGGACAGAGAGGAGTGAGAGAGAGGAAGGAGGAGGGGGGATAATGTAGTAATTTATTAGTGCAGAATTACCTGAATTAGACAATAATTTATAAATTCAGTACAACACAAAACATGATACTATAGCCTAATATATTAAGAAAAGAATATCAGCGCTGTATGACCCTTTGTGGGTTTAGCGCTTGATTATGATAATAATAATAATAATAAAGGAAAGAAACATGAATACTGTTAATTTAACTAAAATATTAAATGATGAAGAAATGACGCAATTTATAAATAACTGTTTTTCTCACTAAAATAATAAATTTTTGAGTTACATCACTAACAAATTAAAAGAATATATGAATTAATGAATATAACATGTATACATTTATGCCATAATACATTAGAACTGGAACACATATTGCAAAAAAAATTACAATCTTCCATACAAGACCTAACGTAAGATTTCAGTTCTTTTTTGGCAAAACAAAAGCAGAAAAACTTATTCCAAATAATTTACAAATAACTGATACTGACACAGGGACGGACACAGAAAAATATAGTAAAACTTTTATTTGCTGACATCTCGCCCCACTGCAGGACTTTAAGTGCTTAACAAAAGCCCCGCAGCGGGTATTGAAGTCAGAGGATTTCCTTGTTTTTTGTCTGTGCTTCTTGAAGGAGCACAGGGAAGATACAGTAGTGAGAGAGGAGGGAGCACTGACCTCCCGAGTTCCTTCGTGCCTCCGGCGTCTAAGAAGCAACCTGGGAACCCTTCCTGGCAAGCGTCTCCTGGACGGGGGAGACAGAGGTGGGAGAACAGCGTGAGTACAAGGACTCATCGAGTTGCCTTTGCTAGGGCCGAGACTTAGCTCCTGGCCCAGGCCACCTAGACAACTTTGATCGGCATTACTGATTTGTGGCCGCTTGGGCCTTATTATATCAACTCATGAAGCTGCCTTATTTACCCTCACCACACACACCGGTCCTAGACCAGTTCTCACCCGAAGAAGATGCTATACAAAGAGGCAATTATCATGCAGCAGGCGATGGCTATGCAGATGATGATGACTATCTGAAGAGCTGTCTCGTAGCCCATGAAAGGAATGTCACTGTAGGGGAAACACAGAGTCCTCAGGTTAGTCGAGATAGAGAGTGAGAGAGAGAGAGAGAGAGAGAGAGAGAGAGAGAGAGAGAGAGAGAGAGAGAGAGAGAGAGAGAGAGAGAGAGAGAGAGAGAGAGAGAGAGAGAGAGAGAGACAGACAGACAGACAGACTGAGACCAATCACAATTCTGTATTATTATTATTATTGTTTTTATTATTATTTACCTAATAAAAAAGAGCTAAACCTTGTTGGTCATTCACTACAGTGCTGTTAGCACTCAACTAGTGCTGTTAGTACTCAACTAGTGCTGCTAGTACTCAACTAGTGCTGCTAGCACTCAACTACTGCTGCTAGTACTCAACTAGTGCTGTTAGTACTCAACTAGTGCTGCTAGTACTCAACTAGTGCTGTTAGCACTCAACTACTGCTGCTAGTACTCAACTAGTGCTGCTAGTACTCAACTAGTGCTGTTAGCACTCAACTACTGCTGCTAGTACTCAACTAGTGCTGCTAGTACTCAACTAGTGCTGTTAGCACTCAACTACTGCTGCTAGTACTCAACTAGTGCTGCTAGTACTCAACTAGTGCTGCTAGTACTCAACTAGTGCTGCTAGTACTCAACTAGTGCTGCTAGTACTCAACTAGTGCTGCTAGTACTCAACTAGTGCTGTTAGCACTCAACTATGTGCTAGTACTCAACTAGTGCTGCTAGTACTCAACTAGTGCTGTTAGCACTCAACTAGTGCTGCTAGTACTCAACTAGTGCTGTTAGCACTCAACTAGTGCTGCTAGTACTCAACTAGTGCTGTTAGCACTCAACTATGCTGCTAGTACTCAACTAGTGCTGCTAGACTCAACTAGTGCTGCTAGTACTCAACTAGTGCTGTAGTACTCAACTAGTGCTGCTAGTACTCAACTAGTGCTGTTAGTACTCAACTAGTGCTGTTAGCACTCAACTAGTGCTGCTAGTACTCAACTAGTGCTGTTAGCACTCAACTACTGCTGCTAGTACTCAACTAGTGCTGCTAGTACTCAACTAGTGCTGCTAGTACTCAACTAGTGCTGTTAGCACTCAACTAGTGCTGCTAGTACTCAACTAGTGCTGTAGACTCAACTAGTGCTGCTAGTACTCAACTAGTGCTGCTAGTACTCAACTAGTGCTGCTAGTACTCACTAGTCTGTAGACTCAACTAGTGCTGCTAGTACTCAACTAGTGCTGCTAGTACTCAACTAGTGCTGCTAGTACTCAACTAGTGCTGCTAGTACTCAACTAGTGCTGCTAGTACTCAACTAGTGCTGCTAGTACTCAACTAGTGCTGTTAGCACTCAACTAGTGCTGTTAGTACTCAACTAGTGCTGTTAGACTCAACTAGTGCTGTTAGCACTCAACTAGTGCTGCTAGTACTCAACTAGTGCTGTTAGCACTCAACTAGTGCTGCTAGTACTCAACTAGTGCTGTTAGTACTCAACTAGTGCTGCTAGTACTCACTAGTGCTGTAGCCTACTGTGCTGCAGTACTCAACTAGTGCTGTTAGCACTCAACTAGTGCTGCTAGTACTCAACTAGTGCTGTTAGTACTCAACTAGTGCTGTAGCACTCAACTAGTGCTGCTTAGACTCAACTAGTGCTGTTAGTACTCAACTAGTGCTGTTTAGTACTCAACTAGTGCTGCTAGTACTCAACTAGTGCTGTTAGCACTCAACTAGTGCTGTTAGTACTCAACTAGTGCTGTTAGTACTCAACTAGTGCTGCTAGTACTCAACTAGTGCTGCTAGTACTCAACTAGTGCTGTTAGCACTCAACTAGTGCTGCTAGTACTCAACTAGTGCTGCTAGTACTCAACTAGTGCTGTTAGCACTCAACTAGTGCTGCTAGTACTCAACTAGTGCTGTTAGCACTCAACTAGTGCTGCTAGTACTCAACTAGTGCTGTTAGTACTCAACTAGTGCTGTTAGCACTCAACTAGTGCTGCTAGTACTCAACTAGTGCTGTTAGTACTCAACTAGTGCTGCTAGTACTCAACTAGTGGCTCACTAGTCTACTCAACTAGTGCTGTTAGCACTCAACTAGTGCTGCTAGTACTCAACTAGTGCTGTTAGTACTCAACTAGTGCTGCTAGTACTCAACTAGTGCTGTTAGCACTCAACTAGTGCTGCTAGTACTCAACTAGTGCTGCTAGTACTCAACTAGTGCTGTTAGCACTCAACTAGTGCTGCTAGTACTCAACTAGTGCTGTTAGCACTCAACTAGTGCTGCTAGTACTCAACTAGTGCTGTAGTACTCAACTAGTGCTGTTAGCACTCAACTAGTGCTGCTAGTACTCAACTAGTGCTGTTAGCACTCAACTAGTGCTGCTAGTACTCAACTAGTGCTGCTAGTACTCAACTAGTGCTGCTAGTACTCAACTAGTGCTGCTAGTACTCAACTAGTGCTGTTAGCACTCAACTAGTGCTGCTAGTACTCAACTAGTGCTGCTAGTACTCAACTAGTGCTGTAGTACCAACTAGCTTAGTACTCAACTAGTGCTGTAGCACTCAACTATGCTGCTAGTACTCAACTAGTGCTGCTAGTACTCAACTAGTGCTGCTAGTACTCAACTAGTGCTGCTAGCACTCAACTAGTGCTGCTAGTACTCAACTAGTGCTGTTAGCACTCAACTAGTGCTGCTAGTACTCAACTAGTGCTGCTAGTACTCAACTAGTGCTGTTACCCTCAACTAGTGCTGCTAGTACTCAACTAGTGCTGCTAGTACTCAACTAGTGCTGTAGTACTCAACTATGCTGCTAGTACTCAACTAGTGCCGCATACTCAACTAGTGCTGTTAGTACTCAACTAGTGTGCTAGTACTCAACTAGTGCTGCTAGTACTCAACTAGTGCTGCTAGTACTCAACTAGTGCTGTAGTACTCAACTAGTGCTGCTATTACTCAACTAGTGCTGCTAGTACTCAACTAGTGCTGTTAGCACTCAACTAGTGCTGCTAGTACCAACTGTCTGTAGACCACTAGTGCTGCTGTACTCAATAGTGCTTAGTACTCAACTAGTGCTGTAGTACTCAACTAGTGCTGCTAGTCACTCAACTAGTGCTGCTAGTACTCAACTAGTGCTGCTAGTACTCAACTAGTGCGCTAGTACTCAACTAGTGCTGTAGACTCAACTAGTGCTGCTAGTACTCAACTAGTGCTGCTAGTACTCAACTAGTGCTGCTAGTACTCAACTAGTGCTGTTAGACTCAACTAGTGCTGCTAGTACTCAACTAGTGCTGCTAGTACTCAACTAGTGCTGCTAGTACTCAACTAGTGCTGTTAGCACTCAACTAGTGCTGCTAGTACTCAACTAGTGCTGCTAGTACTCAACTATGTGCTTAGTACTCAACTAGCTGTTAGACTCAACTAGTGCTGCTAGTACTCAACTAGTGCTGCTAGTACTCAACTATGTGTTAGACTAACAGTGCTGCTAACCACTAGTGCTGCTAGTACTCAACTAGTGCTGCTAGTACTCAAGTAGTGCTGCTACTCATAGTGTACTCAACTAGTGCTGTTAGCACTCAACTAGTGCTGCTAGTACTCAACTAGTGCTGCTAGTACTCAACTAGTGCTGTTAGCACACAACTAGTGCTGCTAGTACTCAACTAGTGCTGCTAGTACTCAAGTAGTGCTGCTAGTACTCAACTAGTGCTGCTAGTACTCAACTAGTGCTGTTAGTACTCAACTAGTGCTGCTAGTACTCAACTAGTGCTGTTAGTACTCAACTTGTGCTGCTAGTACTCAACTAGTGCTGTTAGTACTCAACTTGTGCTGCTAGTACTCAACTAGTGCTGTAAGTACTCAACTAGTGCTGCTAGTACTCAACTAGTGCTGCTAGTACTCAACTAGTGCTGCTAGTATTCAACTTGTGCTGCTAGTACTCAACTAGTGCTGTTAGTACTCAACTTGTGCTGCTAGTACTCAACTGGTGCTGTTAGTACTCAACTAGTGCTGCTAGTACTCAACTAGTGCTGTTAGACTCACTTGGCGCTAGTACTCAACTAGTGCTGCTAGTACTCAACTAGTGCTGCTAGTACTCAACTAGTGTTGCTAGTACTCAACTAGTGTTGCTAGTACTCAACTAGTGCTGCTAGTACTCAACTGGTGCTGCTAGTACTCAACTAGTGCTGCTAGTACTCAACTAGTGCTGCTAGTACTGAACTAGTGCTGCTAGTACTCAACTAGTGCTGCTAGTACTCAACTAGTGCTGATAGTACTCACCAAAAGCTGAACTCGTAGAATATACCGCCTCCACTGCACTCACAGAAGGAGTCGACGCACTCAGCCATCGTGTGAGTACAAGACTTGTTCCTGCACTCTGAACCAACGTAACCTGGAAGGCAAGTCGAATGACTATATTAACGTTGGTAGAATTACCGACAATATGTTGGATAAAAGGACACAAGTGCAACTAATGTGTCATTTTATTGTGGCAACGTTTCGCCCCCAGGAGTTTTCCTGGAAAGCGAAACGTTGCCACAGTAAAATGTCACATTAGTTGCACTTGTGTCCTTTTACTTAACTAGAATGACTGACTGGGAAAGCGTTTAACATGCAAGGTTCGTTCAGAACCCAGGGAAAGAGGAGGTAATCAGATTTGATCCAAGGAAGGAGAAGGATAGCTCAAATTTTGGGGATCAAGAGCCCTTCCCCAGCATCAAGGCAGCCTCCTCCTCCCCCTCCCTTGTTATGGTAAGGCAAAGGAAAATCAGCTTAAATAACTGAGAATATTGCAAATTATTATTATTATTATTATTATTATTATTATTATTATTATTATTATTATTATATTATTATTATTATTATTATTATTATTATTTGATTACTTTTCTGTGATTAGATTAGCATTTTTGGGGTTAATTACAAATATTACAAGAAATATTTTTGAATTTGTATGGAAGAAGAAATTCCGTATGAGCTACTGTTTCTTTTTGTATCAGATTCAGTGAAAATTGATCTTTGTCATTCAAGTTACAGTTCAAGATTAACCACACATGGGCCGCATAATGACTCGTGTCGTGACCGAACTGTTGTATGGGACGCAGCCTTACCTTCCCAGGTGTCGGACCGCTTGATTGCCTTCACGTGGGGGACTGGTCGCGCCACTCCCATCTGGAACAAGCCGGTTGATGCTATAGTGGGCAAGGTACAGCAGGCATTGATTAGTGAGGAACGTACATGCTTATTCCTCGAAAGTGAATCTACATCCTGACCAGGATAGTTGAGTGTTATGTAGCGACAGCAACGTGTACTACAACTCAAACCTGATATTCACAAACTCACACAGACATCACAGACATCAACACCATGAAACTACAAGACTTCACACATGACACTACACATTACATCAAACCATCGACACCACAAACATCACACCACGCACAACAACATCAACACCGTAACACACAAACATCAACACCATGACACTACACAAACATAACACCACGACACAACAAACATCAACACCAGTAACACAACACAACATCAACACCATCGACACACACAAACATCAACACCATGACACAACAAACATCAACACTATAACACAACACAACATCAACACCATGACACAACACAAACATCAACACCACGACACAACACAAACATCAACACCACGACACAACAAACATCAACACCTAACACAACACAAACATCACACCATGCACAACACAAACATAAACACTTGACACACACAGACATCAACACCACGACACAACACAAACATCAACACCACGACACAACAAACATCAACACCATAACACAACACAAACATCAACACCATGACACAACACAAACATAAACACCTTGACACACACAACATCAACACTGTCACTACACAAACATCATCATCAGTAATACAAACTAGTCATTTTCAACATCGGTTTACTGGTATCTCATTCTGAACACAAAATATATCTTCACAGTAACTACCATTGTTTTATAATGTACAGCATGGAACTATCAGCAACTACCATTCTTGACAATGTAATACTTGGAACTACCAGTAAGTACCACTATCAAGTGCAATGCTGTAACTACAAGCAATTATCACTTCACGATGCATGGCTGGTAGCTACCTGTAACTACCCCTCACCACAGAGCTACCCTAGCGCTGTAACTTATCGCGGGTTCTAACCCCGTCCGTGGTATGCTTTGTAACTTTTTATAATTACCATTATTCAAAGTTTAGCTCTAGTAAATTCCTCTAACTACCAATCTGCACACGTCTTGGTCATTAACTACATGTAACAACCATTCTATACAACAACCATCTCAACTCCTGAATACGTCAGAGCAGATAAGATACTCATTAATCTAATCAGACATAACACAGAAACATCGTGTAAAAACAATTTTTATGTAACCAGCCTGTAAATGATGATAGATCGTGCATTATTTCAAAAAATATTAGATATTTTACTGACTAGTAAACCCGAGAGTACTGACGTGTTGCTATGCTCTCTCGTTCAGGAGAAGGGTAAAGTTCCTGAAGGAGAATCGTGCCTTCACAGTTCCCAAGTTAAATATAACAAAATACATTTTCTTAGCTTAGTGGTGAGAATAGCGGCTCTTATTCCCAAGGTCCAGGGATCGAATCCCCAACCGGAGAAGACCAGCAAACACTGAGTGTATTACAGACACCATAAGCAGTATTGTCGAGTGGATTAGTGTTAAAACAATGGATGTCGTAAAAGGCATTAATACCGATTCAATTTTCACTTTTAGAGAGCAAATCTGATTTAAAATTATGACAATTTAAATGTTTCTATACGACGTAACAGGAATTTTGCTATTTATACGCATATTACTGCTAAAATTTCAAATATATCAGAAAAAGCCTCAAATATCTGAAACTGCTTGAAAGTGGATCACCTTTCACTAGTTAAATAACTATATTATGCACACGACTGAACGGTAATCTGAAGACTGCAGAGGCACATACATAGTCCAGTTACTGGGCCCCGGTCTTTTGATAGCAATTTTTAATGCAGTAGTTAGAGAATGTCATGGAATGTTCACTGGTGACTATTGCCTCTCAAGCGCACTTCATGGACTCAGAACTCAATATTTGCTTCGATTTACATGGTAAGGATAGTTCCTCATTCATCGAAATTTCGACGGTGTATGTTCACCTACGAGTAAAGTGATCTGTCGTGAATAAAATAAAGTAAGCATTGATTTATAACAGTCTTAACACCTTAAGCAAGAGAAATAAATTCATGAATAATGTACCTTCCATAAGTCATTAATGATACTATCACTTACAACAGAGCGTCAAAAATATGGCATTAAGAAACAGGTATTAGAACTGACTGGTGCAGAAGGGCAGGGAGGGCACAGTGCTGTCCTTGCCCAGGTCTATGGCCAGTTGAAGGTTTGGAAAAGCGTCCTCGCAATCTTCATCAGACCGACAGGAGAGTTCTTCGATGTTACAAGTCTTCTCATCCACGGAACAGGGCACATCCTCGTAACGCAAGGCTGGGAGATGGGGGATGGGAAAAGACTGTGAATGTAATCACCTAGTTACGTGATGAATTAGATACATACAACATCTGGGTATCTTTATTTGTAGACGTGTTGCATACCTGTCTAATTCTTCATCATGTCGGTATTGTGTACCACTCATACACATCTTGATAGATGTATGTGATTACATGTTTGAAGTTACAAGATCATAGCCATGTTCATGGTCCCCTTTTTCCAGTGATCTGTTGGTTATATAATGATTCAAGTTGCCAGGTGTCCAGGTAGTGGCGTAATAATGAACTAGAATTGGTTGAAACGTTGTCACAAAAATATAATTCAGTATGGGATGTTATGATGTAAGACGAGGCTAACAGCACTTGCGTACAATACATGCAGGTAGTCTCAGCAGGACTTCAGTGGAACTCTTTATAAACTGTAATAATGTTGGTAGAATTACCGACAATATGTTAGGTAAAAGGCCACAAGTGCAACTAATGCGTCATTTTGTTGCGACAACGTTTCGCTCTCCAGGAGCTTTGTCCAGCCGTTACAAACAACACATTAACACAAAGGGTATAGAGTGAGGTGCAAAGCATAACAAATAATGACTAAGCTCCTGGAGAGCGAAACGTTGCCACAATAAAATGCGCATTAACTGCACTTGTATTCTTTTTTCCAAAAATCTTTGTACACTTTTTATTTACATAAACTTACGAGGGCGGAAAAATTGTCGTCGACCAGTGGATCCGCGATACCATCTATTTCTTTCTTCTCTTCCTCCTCCTCCCCCTTCTCCATCTCCTCTTCCACCACCAGCACTGACTATAACAACTTCACTGTCACCGGTAAAATACGCCACTGCACCATGATCACCATCACTAATACCACTAACTGTATTCCAGGAGACAGTGGAGACCAATAGTATAGCAACTACTCCTAGTATTGGTAGTTCCTGCTTCACTACCATCCTGGTCCGAGTACTGTGTGTGTGTGTGTTTGTGTGTGTGTGTGTGTCTGGACAGGTGATACTGTCGTGTCTGCCTATCGTGTTATCACCTGTTATCTCTACCATTAGATTTTATCATTGTATTTATGTTGCTCATGCGCAACGCCTAGCTTGTGCTGTGAAGAGGAGGAGGAGGAGGAGGAGGAGGAGGAGGAGGAGGAGGAGAAGAAGGAGGAGGAGGAGGAATAGGAGGAGGAGGAGCAGAAGTCCAAGAAAAGATTTCGTATAAGTATTTACAGGAGGGCCCTGCTTTACAGCGCTTAGCTTTACAGTGATTCGCTAATGCAGCTGTTTTCAGTTATAGTTATTCCTTATTTATTCAGATTTCGTACAATAAATGTATGCACCACTCACTATAAGATAACGAAAATGTTTTAAGGTAAGTAATGTGTGAACTGCATGTGCATTTTTGGGCTCAGCTGTGTTGCTCGCTTAATATATAATAATGTAAATAATGGTAACAGGCTTTAGTATTCATTTGAAAGTAAAAACGAAGCTATGTTTCACTTTAGAGCGAAAATCATTGTAAAGTGAAACATAGCCTTCATGTGTTCAGTCCAACTGATGAACTGAGCACGTCGAGTCCAGGCTGAGGGACTGATACCTCAAACTCCTCTCTTTACATCGTTCTCCTTTGTATCGGACTGATGAAACCACTGTGTGACGAAACATTTCCTCAGTAAAGATTCCCATATGTTGCATAAATGTCTCATTCTTCTATTTATGTATTGTTCCAGTTATTTTACTGTATCTTTCTCTTCTTTATTTAATGTATCTCAGTGCCACGGTATCCTTTCCTTTTGTGTCACACGAGATGCCATGTTTACCTCAGGGAGGACTAAACTCGTCCTTAAAGTCACTGTATGCATACAAAACAACCATGGCGGGAGTTGAATGATAGCTCTAGGCCTTTCGTGTTGTAATCAGGAGCTTGCAATGTTGCAGAAAAGAGGAAGAGGTTCAAAGCGCAATTTTTACATAATAATCAATGTTCCGGTAAAATTATGCATTCCCTGGACATTAAGTGTTTATTTAGGTTTGCGTACATAGTATACCAAATGGTCATGATGGCACACAATGTTATAGGCACCTGAAAAAATTACATTTTGTAGATTTTAAATGGGTTATACATCGTACAATATGGCTTATTTCCACCGGGAACCCTTTTAACAGCCATTTACCTACACTAGTTGAATTTATGCAAATGCTAAATATATTTTGATGGCAGATAATTAGGTGTGACTATGTTAATAAACGAGAAAGTTGTGTAATGAAATTATGATCGTCATTATGTCACTGCAGCTGTTACTAACGTGGGCAGTTTGAAGGCCATCACAGCTCACGCCATGCTTAGCCCTACTTTGCAGTATTTGTGGAAGGAATTACTACTCAACGGGGACAGCAAATGGCTTCTACTCCATAATAGAAAGGGTAGACGATAATGGCAGGCAGTGGTAGCTGATAGTTGTTGTAGCTGATACAGGTGTTGCCTGCCATGTATTTGTACAAGTGTTGTACAGGAAGACATCAGCCTCCTCTCCATATATATACAGATCAACAACTACATTGTAAGACACGAGCAATTATATTATTTTTGACGAATTGCGAAGTAAAAAAAAAATTGGCTTTTCTGGAAGTCTCAGGAACATAACCACATTTTTCGTGTTGCACGATTCGTGCAACACGCAGATCAATTATTTTTACTATTACTATAATTATTAATACTATCATTTTCATTATTATAATTATTAATACTATAATTTTTATTAAAATTTTTATTAATTTTTAAAAAAAAAGAATTAAAAAAGGGTTTTTTTAAACCAAAAAAAATGGAAATTTTTTCTAATAATCTGTTTTGGGATTATTATAATTTTTTTAATAAATATTTTTTATTCTATATTTATTTTAAATTAATGTATAAAATTAAAAATTTAACTTTTTTATGTACGTCGTCAATCAAGAGCCATTTTTGTTAATTTTTGGGTTGGGAGTATTTTCCTAAGGTTTTCTTTTGAGAAATTGTTTGTTTGGGGTGGAAAATAGAAAAGGGATTCTGTGGAGATAAAGTCGGGTGGGTAGGTGTAGGTACCTTTCATCTTTTTAAGATGGGGGTCTTAAAAGGGGTTTTTCCCCACATGATTTTAAAGTAAATTGTGAACATTTAAAAAACGGTAAATCCCTAATAAAACTCTGGATTGTGTTAAATCCAACAAGTTGGTATACTTTAAAATATATAATTATAAATTTTATAATTATTATTTTTTAAATAATATATTAAAAAATATATATATTAATAATTTTATAATTTATGTTATTTAATGCAAAGTGGGAAAAGGAAAAAATTTATGAATTGAGCATTTATAAATAAAATTTTTAAATATGAAAAGGGGGTTTTTTATGTATGTTAGAAAAATAAATTGAAAAAAATAATTAAGTATTGTTTCAGGGGGGTTAGAATGATAATTCCCACTGGGAGATAAAATGGGGGAAAGGTTTCTGGGAAAGGAAGGAAATTATTTTAATAATTTATAAAATAGGAGGATTGCATCAGTTAAGAAAAAACCTATTTTAGTATAAAATTTTGGGGTTATGTTTTTGAAAATTTACAAAATGGGAAACTGTTTATTTAACAAAAAATATTGTTTCCTATTATTACGAATATAAAGTTGTTTTAGAATTACCTTTAATTATTACTTAAAGAAATTTGTTTAATCACCTTACACAATATTCTACTGCTGTATGTAATGTATCAAATACTATTGTTCTATCATTGAAGAATACAACTGCTGTTACTGTTGTACAGAGATACTACTGCTTTACTGTTGTATCAGAGATACTATGCTGTATTACTGAGAGTTTGTAGATCAGAGATTACTACATGCTGTTACTGTTGTATCGAGATTACTACTGCTGTTACTGTTGTATCAGAGATACTACTGCTGTGACTGTTGTATCAGAGATACTACTGCTGTTACTGTTGTATCAGAGATACTACTGCTGTTACTGTTGTATCGAGATACTACTGCTGTATGTGTATCAGAGATACTACTGCTGTTACTGTTGTATCAGAGATCTACTGCTGTTACTGTTGTATCAAAGATACTACTGCTGTTACTGTTGAATCAGAGATACTACTGCTGTTACTGTGTGTATCAGGATACTACTGCTGTTACTGTTGTTATCAGAGATACTACTGCTGTGACGTTTGTATCAGAGATACTACTGCTGTTACTGTTGTATCAGAGATACTACTGCTGTTACTGTTGTATCAGAGATACTACTGCTGTGACTGTTGTATCAGAGATACTACTGCTGTGACTGTTGTATCAGAGATATACTGCTGTTACTGTTGTATCAGAGATACTACTGCGTTAACTGTTGTATCAGAGATACTACTGCTGTTACTGTTGTATCAGAGATTATACTGCTGTTACTGTTGTATCAGAGATACTACTGCTGTGACTGTTGTATCAGAGATACTACTGCTGTTACGTTGTATCAGAGATACTACTGCTGTTACTGTTGTATCAGAGTACTACTGCTGTGATGTTGTATCAGAGATACTACTGCTGTGACTGTTGTATCAGAGATACTACTGCTGTTACTGTTGTATCAGAGATACTACTGCTGTACTGTTGTATCAGAGATACTACTGCGTGTGACTGTTTGTATCAGAGATACTACTGCTGTTACTGTTGTATCAGAGATACTACTGCTGTACTGTTGTATCGAGATACTACTGCTGTGACTGTTGTATCAGGATACTACTGCTGTGACTGTTGTATCAGAGATACTACTGCTGTTACTGTTGTATCAGAGAACTAATGCTGTTACTGTTGTATCAGAGATACTACTGCTGTGACTGTTGTATCAGAGATACTACTGCTGTTACTGTGTATCAGAGATACTACTGCTGTGCTGTTGTATCAGAGATACTACTGCTGTGACTGTTGTATCAGAGATACTATGCTGACTGTTGTATCAGAGATACTACTGCTGTGATGTTGTATCGAGATACTACTGCTGTGACTGTTGTATCAGAATACTACTGCTGTGGACTGTTGTATCAGAGATACTACTGCTGTGACTGTTGTATCAAAAGATACTACTGCTGTACTGTTGTATCAGAGATACTACTGCTGTGACTGTTGTATCGAGATACTACTGCTGTACTGTTGTATCAGAGATACTACTGCTGTGACTGTTGTATCAGAGATACTACTGCTGTGACTGTTGTATCAGAGATACTACTGCTGTGACTGTTGTACAGAGATACTAATGCTGTTACTGTTGTATCAGAGTACTACTGCTGTACTGTTGTATCAGAGATACTACTGCTGTGACTGTTGTATCAGAGATACTATGCTGTGACTGTTGTATCGAGATACTACTGCTGTGACTGTTGTATCAGAGATACTACTGCTGTGACTGTTGTATCAGAGATACTACTGCTGTGACTGTTGTATCAGTGATACTACTGCTGTGACTGTTGTATCAGAGATACTACTGCTGTTACTGTTGTATCAGAGATACTACTGCTGTGACTGTTGTATCAGAGATACTACTGCTGTGACTGTTGTATCAGAGATACTTACTGACTGCTGTGACTGTTGTATCAGAATACTACTGCTGTGACTGTTGTATCAGAGATACTACTGCTGTGACTGTTGTATCAGAGATACTACTGCTGTGACTGTTGTATCAGAGATACTACTGCTGTGACTGTTGTATCAGAGATACTACTGCTGTGACTGTTGTATCAGAGATACTACTGCTGTTACTGTTGTATCAGAGATACTACTGCTGTGACTGTTGT